TTGTCAAGATATCAACCAATGAGCAGACTCTTTGGTCGACCCATCAATATCACCACCATTGGTGATATCGTTCAAAAAATATTCAGCTTAATATTCTTTATTGTCATTATCTTCTAAATGACAATTTCCATGTAACGGGCTGCCCCGTTACACTTAACCTGAGGGATGATACCTTGTACCTTCAATACGTTGCCTTTAAGTTCACCAATTCGAAGAACACTTTACCACAACTTTATGGAACTATAGATTTTTCTTTCTGCTGGATATCGAACTTCGACTAGCGATGACATATGCATCAGCGATAAGAATGAGATACGAATCTGATGCAAAAAATGATTGTATTGATGCTTCCGGAATGAGCTTCATCGACGAAAGGTTGGCAGGAGTGGAAGAGCATACTAATCGGTTCTGGTATTGTGAAGATGGAATGCATTATTATATATTAGTTTAAATATCCAATTTAATGAAGAGATGACCCCTAGCAGAAATTATATGCACGCCGATCGGCGCCAATAAAATAACATATGCAGCCCGCTCGCAGCTACATCGCATTCAAATAAAATTCTTTCGATAGCACAAAGACGCGTTGCATATCGCAAGCGATTGGATAGCACGCCTTTAACTAAGCTAGCTATCCCTGGCAAATCCACACTACCAATTCGAATCAATTAAATCTTTATCTGCAGTTGTAGGTTAAATATTTATTGTCAAGTACAGCCGGTATATTTAGTATGTAGAAGATCTGTTACTGCCATCTTTGGCAAGACTTCCACATCCAAAACCGGTAATGGCTATCGTGCCATGTGAAGAGAGTTTCTGCCCGATAGACTGGGTCTTAAATCGTAAACAACACCAACTATTCATATTTGAGTATTCATGCCTCTTCAAGAGACCTAACGCGATAGTCAGAGGGTTCCCAGGTGTGACCATTGAGGCTTGTGTGTCCACATTCTCTAACAGAAATTAGCCTGTTCGTATCGTGGTAAAAGTCCAGTACCATCTAGTAGAAGCGGTAATTGCTTGTCAGATACATCAAAGACCCATGCATTTACTTAAACAAGAGTCGACGCAGAATGAGAGGTATTCAGCACCATTACAGCTGGACAAATCTTTGAGATTACAGCAAATGGCTGACACAACATTTTATTCAGGATGGGCTACATACTAGCAATTGAAAAGTTTCACCGTCTTTATTCACGATAAAAAAGGGATAGTTGCTTGCGAAAGACGGCTTAATGTGTGGAAAAAGTAACGGCGATGCGGCTCATCCTTGCGACCACTATCGCGCGCATCTACTTTGAGACCATGTAATGACTTACAAGGAGATCGGACGACGCGTCAGCGAATGAGGCACTCTATAGCAGCGTGTGTCACCCGGCAGGCCGCTCCGATACCAGTGTACCGGAACGATGAGCTTCGGAGGCCGGTTTTGAGACGATGCACTAAGGGCCGAGTCCGAATAAAGACTGATATGCATTTTTAACTCCAGTATGCCGCACCCGAATATAGACGGACAGAATTGCGGTCGTATTAGCAGAGTTGGTCTGCATAATCGTAACATCACAGGGATAAAGTTGAAAGCATACATACAACAGCTTTGTTCCATCACCAAAAGATAGCATCGAGCAGCAGAAGCATCCATTCGAGAGGCGATTTTAAATTTTAGTATACAGTTGCATGTTCGGCACCCTACATGGTCCGCGTTTCTCCAGGAGACCGAAAAACGATCAGCCAACGGGAACACTGGCGGTCATGTCCTGGCGTAGAACTTTTTACAGATCTCGCACATATTAACACCATGTATATATACAATTTAAACCTGTACGGTATCTATTGTGTAAGAAGCGATAGATCATACATGATGATTTGTTCGTCTTTTTTACGCAGCCGTTACATTTAGTACTTTTAATGACCTGATATATCACTCATCGAATAGGGCCTACACAGCCCTTACTGGTCGTGTTTGTTGTGCTACACGACGAAGGGCTTTGTTGCAGCTGGATATTCTGGGCTCCAGCCATTCCGAATAGCCCCACGATTTGTTTAAGGGTATTTATGCTAATTTGATCGGATTTGATCGCTTGGTCACATGATTTCTGGATAACAAAGTGTTCTGATGATTTTGTTTGATAGCAGGTGTTTTCGAACAAGCGTCGACTAGCTGGAACGGACTTAACCTAAGCTACAAGAGAAAATTTAAAAACTACACAATCGTTTACTATGTAGTATGTATATATATATACTTTGACCTTCCGCCACTACCATAAATCTTCTTCTAGTAGTATCATCAATCTGGACGTATGTGATGTATCGAGACAACTTGCGGAGAAGTGAATCAAGAAGTGTGGACCGCAGATCGCGCTGCGACTAAGTACCTAGTCTTGCTGTGGGTATAAGCTACACTCTGAGGAACACCACACACTGCGATCTCGTGCACCGCGATCTTGGATGATGAGATCTTGGGTGATGAGATCCAGTTAGAAGAAGGCTTGGGCGCGATCTTGGGGGCGCGATCTTGGATGATGTGATCTTGGATTTGTGATCTTGAGTGAAGCGGTATCGTAAATTGCGATCTAGAGATGATAAGGTCAAGGTAATATGGCGTGATCACCCAATACGATTGAAGATAAATCTTCGACAGTACATGGCGACAAGTGGTGATCCATTTATAACAAAAAAAAACAGGTATAGCTATAGGACAAGACTATGCTTGGGTATTATTTAATGAGAAATCAATTTACTTCCAAGTGCATAACTGTCGTTCTTCTTTCCGTAGGACTATTTGGAATACCGACGTCTGAGAAGGTCGAAAAACCACCAAGAACATCACTACTAGTTTATTTTTACAAAAGGAAAAGATATCTCCAAAACCCGTTCAGCTGCGATTGGACGCAGAGTGCAAGATCGCGAGACGGCTCAAGTGGTTAGAATGCTCGCGGGTCAAGCAACCGCTTTGGACTGCCGATCTCGTAGAGATCAGGGTGACTCATATCGAGCACTCAGTAAGTATACTCGTGATCGTGTGAAGAATATCATACATTCACCGACATATCTCGAACACGGTCATGTTTTCCACCGACACGTGTCCACATGTAGTAGTTCAGCTCGCCCTATCGACGGATACAAAAGGTGAGGAAGGAAAAAAGCGCGTAAACGGAGTACGGCCTCCTATAGGCGGTCGTCTGGGCGCCAGTGGATAGCCGAGATCACAAAATATTGATGATCGCCACTCCACTACCCACTTACTTATACTACGTTCAGCTTGAGCAGCTTCTCATACGTCAGTACAAGCGTTCCGTGCATCGTGACAGACCCTGTAGCGGAGCTATAATTGCAACGGGGCATGCCCTTACCAAAGCACTGGTAAACCCTTGTATATTTTTTCAATTAACGTGTGCGTGCTCCCGGGTGTCACATACACGCGAGAGTTGAGGAAGCGCGAGGTAGAGAGCTGAGCAAAGGATGCTCAGAGTGAGGGGAAAGTGAACTGTATTTATTGTAATCACCTTTTTTGACCAACCCTCTTTGTCTTACTTGAACTATATACACCTACAATATCGAGCGTCTTTTTCTCGCTTACCACCCATTGCGCGCGTCTAGCGATTGGCGTATTATATTGGAGATGTCCTGATTTAAGTCAACGAATAAGTAAAGCGCCCTTATGTATTACTCTTGGAGGTAATATTCCATCAAAATTCCTTTGCTCGGTAATATTGATGATTTCTTTTAAAGTAAAATGATTTTCACATTGATTTATTGTGATATCTATGACATAAAACGGACTCACCGTTTTGAAAACAGCTCCTTTGCCAGAGGAAGGCTTGTTGCTCAACGATCTACTGTGTTTTACAAAAAAGAAAATCACTCAATGAGTCTGCTCTGCTCTGCTCACCGAGCTTTGATCCTGGCTCAAGCGACTCTACGTGTCGTAAATTCATCAGCATTAAGTACTCGTAAGAACATGCCTGAACAAGGCTTCTTACGCTAGTGATCAAAGATGGGTAATCAGGCACGCTTTTATGCAGACCAAAATGCGAACTGGTTGTTTAATGAATCATTATACGGAGATATTCCCCCGCATAAAATATCATACAACGTTTCACTTTCTGCTGCAGTTAAACCTGAAACGCACCATTGGTGGCTGAAGCGAAACGGATTTAAAAAGGCGGTACATCACACGGTACACCTACCTAGCCCATTGATGTACCACTCACAGTGGACCATCGTTACAGACCCCGTGTTCCAAAGAAAGCCGACAAACTCCCAACGACGTCAAGAGCTCATCCGCTCAACTATCACGAGGCAAGCAACACATGCAAAAACAGTACAAACAATCGACACACATTTTTGTTCATAAGTCGGCAAGTCTAGACATCATGACAAGTGGACAATCACGACAACATGTCAACGATACCGCTTCCTTACTTTCGCATCCGGTACGAAATATTACTCCATTATAGTCCATAGCTTACTTGTGGGTAAGCGATGAGGTGTGAGTATCTTCATAAACAAGAACAGATTGCATTCGCTTAGCTCACAGGGTATTGAGCAGAAACGCAGCCAAGGAGGTCCACATTGACCTCGTCTCGATGATGAAAAGCCCCAATGCGCTCCTTCCCCAAAGCTTTAAAGGCTGTTGTGACCGCAATACTGATGCTCATCGAAAGCCACACCACTCAGTAGCTGCGAACAAGGGTCTTAGGACTGTACACGCGATACAGAGGGTCTTTCGTCGTTAAGCTAACTACTTTGGACAGCTCGACGTACGCTTCGACTGAAAGCAATAGATGGCGAGCCGCCTGCAATATGTTTCGCACTTAGTTGAAGTACTGCTATCTACCCGGAGAACTTACGGTGGGTAGACCCACCATTTATTCTTTTCGAGAGGGCTAAGACGTCCCGGATGACATCTGTCAATCGGTGTGTCTGTGTATACTTAACGTTTCAGAACGCCCCATTTTTGTTTGCTACCAACTCTGCATCTCACATTTTCGACAACGATGGCCGAGTGTCCCCTGCAGACGCCCACGCTGCACGTCGGTGACTGGATAGGTACGCACGGCGTCCGGCCTTCCTTGACCTTGGTCTGTATCAATTGTAAGGTCCTCTGGCATCTTTAAACTGATGTCAACCGCCGCAGACGTGCTCGACGGCGACGGAATCTGGAACGTTGCGCAGGTACTTCGACTGGCCACGTCCGAGATGGTGGAAGTGACATATGACTGCTGGGGAGCCGAGTACAACGAGGTGTTGCCGCGAGACAGCGACCGAATCGCTCCGTACGGCACGCACACGTGGTCGGTCAAGTGCTGGGCCAAGCTCGACACCTGGCCCTGGTGGCCAGCCGTACTCACGGTGCGAGCTCCTGGCTCTGCTGTCGGTGCGCAAAACCTGAGACGGGAGGAGCGACTGCTCGTAGACTTTCTCGACCACACGGAGTTCCTGGAACGTTGCAGGTTCGTAGGTCTTCGATACTTTGTTCTTCTTGTAGACTTGTGGTGGCCGACGGCTTGTGGAATTTTTATTTTGATGGCTACACGGGCATATGATATGTATACATGTCTTTGTGTACCATTTGTGCACTTTGTGATACCGATGTTTATCGTTGTTTGTCTCCTGACGACGATACTAGGTGCTGGGTTAAACAAAACCAAACCATGGCGCTTGATTGCCACCAAGACACGAGAAAACGGTTAATGACGCTAAAGAGTAAGAAGAGAACAAATGTGATGGATGCACGGGCAAGCAAGTTGGCGCTCGCAAAGACGTTACTCGCCCAGTGCGATGCGCGAGACAAGTTTCCGAAATTCTGTGAAGGAACGCTGCCGGTGCAATTTGAAAACCGATGTACGAGGCCGAATACTGAAGTGAGACTCGAAATGGGGGAACAGCGCTGGATGCGCGGCTTTGCTGATAACAGGGTCAATCATGCAGCAGCACATGCGTATGCACCAGTGCTCGCTGGCGACGGAAACGGTCATGAGTTGCTAAGTGTGGCAACAAAGACCGACGCAGATCGAACCAGGCCCGAGTCCAGTGCGTCGTCAATCGAAGTCAATGAACATAGATCTTTGTGGAGCACAAGAATGATGGATGTAGCCAATGCTTCGTTAAAGTCTGCCGATGCTCTCAATGTGCCTGAAAGCATGAAATTGCCGCGAAAACCGAAGGAATCGCGCAAGCGAGCGATATCAAACGCCGGAGATGAAGTGTTCGGCAGCACTCATGAATCCGATCCTGTTGACAGCAAGTGTGTACAACAATATAGCGCAGCTGAAGGAGTCATGAAGTCTACTGCTGATCCCGAAGAGTCTCGTGTTCAGACACGGAGATACGGAAAGACACCCAAGGTACTCAAGATATCGAAAGCGTCGGCTTCTGGACCACTACCGCACTTCCCAGTCCACGTCTCGGATCTTTTGAAAGAGAAGTGTCGGGACGACAAGGACATCGCGAACCATGTGCGACTATGCGCAACAAAAGGTAACGTTGTGAATGATACAATGCGTGCCTTCAGTGCCAACGGTCTCACGTATTGCTATGGTACGCTCAGGTGTACCGGTCAAAAAGTTGCCCGTGTTGGATCGGCGCATGGGAAAGATACATGCAGTACTGCGAGGAAGTTTGCCAGGCGAGTTGAAGCTTGAAAACAAGAATGTGAGTCCGATGGAAAGGCTTGCTCGATCAACTGAAGCCACTTTGCAAGCTTATAAGAAGCTGCGCGACACAGAAGCTGCAGTGGGCGGCAAGCTGACTGAGCTTGTCGAGAAGACCGCAGAAGCTGAAGAGCTTTGGAGGAGATATACAGATTCGCGTAAGTTGTTGAACGGGGTTTTCGCCTATGCGGACAACCGAATGTGTGCTGGTACAGCTTGGTCTACGCATGTCTGCTAACAACGTTTGTCCTTCTTCAGTATGGGTAGACTCTTCCACATCAGCGCCGTTTCGTGGTACTCAGCAGTTCGACGACGGGATCGATCAGGCGGTCTGGTCTACCGTCAAGGCTGCCGGCGAAACGGATGGTGCCATCGACGAAAATCGATCATGCGCAAGCGAGACTTCTGGCTCTCGTGGTACTCTACAGAAGTCGTCATCTGCGAAGACAGCGTCGCAGTCCGAGTGTGGAAGCGCTGCAGCTCCTTGTACGTCACGCTGTCAACTAGGTCAGATGGTCCGGTGTCTAACTGTTGTGCCCGTGTGAATGTGGATGGTGATGGTAGCTGCTGAGCTGGATGACATGAAAGCCGGCTTGCTCGCCTCTTCGGACGGACAAGGTGTCTTCCCTCGAATGAAGCACGCTCGCAATGGAACGCCGACTCCTGCAGGTGAGTTGCAGATACTCTTTTCAGTGCACATTACCAACGCACTTGCATTCTTTACCTCACACTCTTTGACTACGTGACAGGATGCCCGCTGCCTCACCACAGCAGCCACCGCAAGGAAGTCAAGTGTTGTTGCTCGAACATATCATCGCAATCAGTTAGCCAACAGCTCAGCGGATCCTGGCCAAGAGACCACAGCTCGTCGACCTTCAGCTTGCGCGACGATTTCTCAATTAGTCAGTGGTATCGCGAGTTGTACCCAAAGTCCTTCGACCTCGAGCGACTGTGACGGTTGTCCCGTAGGGAGTCAAGTTAGTTGGTGGTATGTGCTGCGTCTCGTCCACGTCCAGCTTCGCAGTTTCATAGAGCTTAAGCTGCTGGTTTGCATGATTATGTTCCCAATCGCTGGTGACAATCCGAAACGACTCTGGACCATTCATTCGCAATGACCGAATCTGTTTCGACCCGGACGCTGTTTGCGTGTGCACTGGACGTGCTGACAACGGGCGATGTCTCTGTCAAGGCGGACAAGACCATCGCGTACGTGGCGCAGTGGAGGAGCGGTGCTATCCACGTCGTTTGCAACGAAGACGACGATGTGAAGACCGTACCGGATCGTCCCGCACGACCAGAGAGCGTGCAAATTGTTGCTGCGAACAAGGCCAAGCAAGGATCGCGCAAGGCGTTCGTGCACAGGTGCGTGAGCGTTTCGTGACTGCACGACACACTCGTCATGAGGAAATGCTGTGCTGCAGATGAGGCAAAGGTGGCGTCAACGTGCGTGAATATATGTGTGTGTGATGGAGCTCTCGTGTTGACCTGTATCACGTGTATGCAACAGCTTGGCTCATGCCGAGAGCTACGCCATCGATCTCATGTGGGACATGGTGTGCCGATATGTGTCGCACGACCTGCCCCGTGCCTTTTACGACGACTGGGTCCGCATTGCAGGGGAAGAAGCAGACCACTTCAACAGCTGGGCCCATCGGCTGACGGAGCTAGGGAGTTTCTACGGTGACCTCACGGGGCACGAAGGTCTTTGGGACGCAGCGTACGATACCCGCGCAAGTATCCTAGCGCGTCTGGCTCTCGTGCATCTCGTGCATGAAGCTCGTGGACTGGATGTCTTCCCAAATGCTGTCGAGCGGTTCAAGAAAGCGAGCGACAGCGTGAGTCTGGAAATCTTGCGTAAAAACTACCGCGAGGAGATCACGCACGTGGAGGCAGGAGTGCGTTGGTTCCGGTACGTCGCTGAGCAAGACGGCGACGAGCCAATTGCCAAGTTCCACGAACTCGTACCGCAGTACTACAAAGGCACGCTCAAACCACCTTTCAACAAGGAAGCACGGGACAAGGCTGGGATGTCGGAGCAATGGTACGTCCCGCTCAGCTCGAAACCGCAGGCAACGACAGCACAATACTTGAGCACCACAGCGACCGAAGAGACGGCTGCTGCATTGTCAACGATCGAGTTGCACTCGACAACGTCGTAGACGACCGAGCGAAGCGCCAAAACGCACGTGAAGCCAGCAGCACAAGCTCTGTTGATCCCGCACGAACAGGTATGACCACGTTGCTGCCGTTTCTTCTTCTTCGTGCACGTTGCAATCGTCACGCGTCGTTCTGCGTGCCTCCATGTTGCCAATATACGCGATCTTGACAATCTTTTGTTCGCGTTGGTAGCGATGTGCCATTTCAAGTCTCAACATGGCACATGGAACGATCCCAAGTCCAGCGTGAGTACCAACAACGTCTCGAGGTCGGATGGGAACGGGAACGAGATGGATAAATCACATTGGCAACTCGTGCTACATACGACAGACTACTGCAGCTTACGCACTGGCATCAAAGCTATGAGGGCAGAGGAACGCGAACACGTTACATCGTGGGTCGCGACATGTTCTCGAGCAAGCCACAAGTGCCTGAGCTGGACGAGGTGCGTTGCAGCCGAATGTATCCCGCCTCGCCCCAATCCTCGCCCCACGAGTTCTGGATCTTGAACGTAGTGTCGTCGTAGCCCACGATGAGCACAGCGTGGTCGATCGTGGACGTCTCGCAAGTCGAGAGAATGCCGCCAGTATACTGCTTCCAAGCTGCGTTCCCGGACGCAACGGCTGCGACAACAGGCTGCGACTTGAGCGCGTTAATGAGCTCTGCTTCGTCGCCATCGTCCAGCTTTTCGTATCCAGTAATGCCTGTTTGGCTCTTGGAGCACCTCGCTGAACAGGACGTGGTACCGCCTTCGCGCAACGTGTAGGGGTACGCGCTTTCCGAGCACAGACCGTTCTGCCTGATGTATTCGAACGCGTATACCGGAGCACCGCCATTACAGCCCCTGTTCTGCGAGTCACAACCGATCAGCTGCTGCTTTGAGTAGCTATTGAGCTTCGATTGGCCACGCTTGATGCACTGGAGGGACTCAACTGCGGCCACGGAAGTAATCGCCCAGCACGAGCCGCACTCCCCTTGGCTTTGGACGGGAGGCATGCACGGAGTAGTCGACCAGTCGACTGAGTTTGCCGCAGTGACGATCGGGCCTTGTGCTCGATTGGGAATTGGATGCTGCTTCACTGAAGGACTCAACGACAGAAGGCCGCGTCGTGGACTTGGGTTCAGGAGCTGGTGTCGGAGCTGGTGTCGGAGCTGGTGTCGGCGGTTCCGTCATGGGGGCTGGTTCTGGGATAGGGAGATCCCATTGCACTTGTTGCGCAACCGAATCGTCGTCTTCGTCTTCGTCCGTGTCACGAGCAGCTTTCACGCCACCGGGTGTCCACGAGTCGTCTACGCGTTCCTGGATCCTCTTTTGCAAAGCGTCGATTATGTCCTGGATGTCCGCGAACGTCTCGGTCTCACGAAGTGATCTCGTGGGTGATACCGGTGCAGCTCGAACCCGTTTCTGTGTCGTGTTGCCGTAAACGTACGCGTTTTGGACTCTGGTGGCAAACTCTTCTTTCGTCAGTGCTGAGAACGGCGTCATGATGGAGAAACTCGCGAGTGGATTGGCCGCCTGCGCTTCCGCGACGTCTTGCTTGCTCATGAAAATCCGCTGGCGCAGGTCTTCGTCGGTCGAGTCCAAGCTGCGGTCTTCGGCGAAAGACGGCAGCCACTTGTTGTCGTTCCAGAACTTGGCTTTCCAGCTTTTCAGGTCGTCATCCGTGATGTCGATCTCCTCGAGGTAGCGCTTGTAGTCCATACCCGCGTGCATCTGACGGGCTTCAGCTGCACGTATTGAAATGGCTACGACAGCGCACAACGATGCAAGCAACGACGTCACCTTCATGATTTGCAGCCAACGACACTGTTCAAGACTGACTGGAGATTCAAGAATAAACGCCTCGAGTCATGTCGGGCTTTGCGTACCTATCGAAGCGAAAAAACTTTGCATGGGTGCAAGTCTACGATGGTACCTGGGTGCACGTTGTGCGCGCTGGCTCCATATGGCGAGAGTTTACCAACCAAATTTTCTCGAGGATGATGCATGACAAAACGTGCACACGTGTACACACGACATTGACGACTCCCAGGCTCACACACATACAAGTGCGTAATCGCGCGTCGTGGCACCGTGCGTTCGCCGCGTGGGAAACCTCTAGCTCCCGCCTGGACAGACGTTGCCCGCTTGTTGAGCACAATTGCAGATGTGCTGGGTCCTGCTCTTGCTGCAGAGCTGCCGATCGCGAAGAAGATATCGCCGCATCGAGACAGCAAGAGATACCATGCGGAAAGCATCCCGCCGCAGAAAAAGGGCCAGACGTGCTGCGACGGGCTCGTGTCCGTGTGCACTTTGCGGTCACGACGAGGCGCATATCGCGTTCGGACACAGTCTAGAAGAATGCAGTGAAGGAGGTGTTTGCGATGCAGTCAACACTTGCAGTAGTTCCTGGCGGTTACCGAACCAGAACGTCTCGACGGCGTAACAATGGCAATACTTCACGTTTTGTCATTTCTGAGAAAAAACGAGCGCATAGTGAGTATCGCATGACATTCGAACGATTCGGGACTCCACACGCGGAAGTTCCCGATTACCAGCTGGAAAACAGCAACAGGACGTCGTTGTCGAACGTAACGGGCACGAAAGCGGAGCCTGTGGGTGATGAGCAGGTGTGGTCGGATATCGTTGTCGGGTTTCACGCCACCGTGTTGTGCAGACCAGGCGCCTGTCGAGCAGCTCTGGACTGAGAGCGTGTGATTGTGGGTAAGACGATTCCCTCTCCAAGCGCGTCGCGCGCGCCACGGACGACAGCCGCCACGACAGTGTCTATCCAGTGAGGTGCTCCGTTTGCAAAGGGAATCAGTGCCTCTCATGTGAAACATCATCGACTCGCTGTTTCGATCGGGACACGCACGCCACGTAGATACATAGATACCCTTTTGGAGATATCACCTCATTGACGGTATCTGCTGACGTCCGGTTACAGGTGAACAAGCAGACGTGCTGTAACTCAAGAGTCTCAGAATGACGCGGCGCTATGGCAACATCGACGCGCGAGGGCGACTGGCTTTTGCTGCTATAGCATGTGCTTTCTCGACGCTCACGCATCGCTACTTCGACGCGTGCAGCGACAATGGCAACATGAGAACGCCAGGCAGTCTGCAGCCACGACCTTGTTGGCATTCGGCCGTGCGCTCGGCCATCATCTGGTTGTTGTTCTTCGAAAGTGGTCGGCAGCTTTCCAGCTTTCGTCTGGACTCCTCCGACCGAGCGACAGTAGTCGAGTCCAACGTGTCCTTTAGATCGTGTCAGCAGCAGTAGTAGCTGACAAGAGGAACACTGTGGGGTCAATCAAACGCAACGGACTGGACCTTCATCCGTCCGGGTGCTGCCACCCTCCATCCAAGCAGATCTTTTTCCCTCCTCACGTCGTGTGGGACGCCACGTGATGACAAGTTTCTGCACCGCCAGCTGACGGGACGCGGGCTACATTTGGTGACACCACTTGTCCAGAGCGGGACGAGCGACTGACCCACAAGCGGTCAAGTTGCAGGCCATGGGCAGCTCGTTTTCATTGAAGTATGCGCTTCGAGTCTGCGCTGGACAGTCAGATTCCCGACGCGATCAGAAGCGCACGGAAAGAAGATCGAGACGGACTGGGGAGGAGGAGAGCGAGTTCAAGTCCCCGTGCCGCCAACTGATATCAGCGCTCTGGAGCTCAAGACCTCCGTGGTCTTGAGCAGGTCTGCCTCGCTGACCGGACGTTCGTTTTGTATGCAAGTGTCGTCCGCTTGATACTTGAGCCTTTCTAGCAACCGAAAACCATCGCCCCCTGCTACTCCGGCTGGACGCTTTCTGTCTACCCTTTGTCATCCCGGGGCCACGATGCACTCGACGTGACGCCATTAGGCCTCGCAGCAGCACCGCTTGGCCCTTTCAATATCACACGAGGTCCAAGACCGCTCGACTCTTCCGTCGTCAGGAGGAAACCCTTTCGCTTTCAAGGCCACAACACACGACAGCCTGAGACGCTGCTGCTGCTGCTGTTCGGTCGTGGCAGCGGATAAAGTCTTTGGCCCACAGCGCCGCTCGAGGATGCAGCTGATCGTGCAGTCCAATCTGGGGTACCGTTTCTGGACAACTGGCGCGTGGATAGAGCAGCAGTGCATGCGTAAGTAGTGGGGACATCTGTCTTTCTTGGCAATGCCAGCAGTCGGTGGGCCTCGAGGAACTGACTCGTGAGTGCTGCGTTGCCTCTCGACCAGCATGACACGGAAACGAATGTGTCGGATCGATCGGTCGGTCGATCACTTGAGCGATCAGTTGGTCGATACCCCACCGACGCGCTCTCCGCGTCAGCGTCGTGGTCTGTGGCGCTCTGCGACGCAAGCACAGGGCACCATTCGTCTTGGCAACAACGTTGTCGGAGCATTCAGTCTCGACGCCGAACTTTTCTCCCTTTGCCGGTCATGCAATGCCATCTGCAACAACACATGGCCTACCCGTACCCTCGCGCGCTTGCAGGGCGTCGATTTCGTTGCAATACATACGACCACGAGGTCACACGTGACCTCCCGGCGTAGCTCGCTCGTTCGCGTCCAAAGTACTTCGACTGCAGTGTCGTCACTTGTCCACACAGACTCCATCTGATGGGAGGAGTTGATGGACAGGTAGAACGGTCGATAGTTCACCCACCACTTGCAAGTCGGTGCAGCAAGAAGCAGTGACGTCCTCCCCCTCCCCCTCCTCCTCGAGAGTCCGCCGGTGCTTCGCACGCCCAAAGGCCGCGCGCAACTCTTTCGATTAGGCCTATCCACGCCACCCCTCGCTCCTGCTCGGGCCGTCCGAGTCAGACCGCAACCGAAATCCTGAGCTGATCCACAATCCCCCACCTGCTCTCTCTCGTCGCTTCTACGCATTGTCAAACTTGCTGCGAAGGCCCTTCACCACATCGTCAGTCAGTTGCTCGCCCGAACGTCGTGTCCGACACTCGAGACGTGACCAGACAACCGATAGACCGACAGACCGACCGACAGACAGGTAGACAGGTAGACAGACAGCAAATAAGGAACAAACTTGTCGAACGGCACGACGCCCATGCGATTGCGAGTCTCCATTGCGTCCGTTGCGGTAGCAGTGGCCGTCGTGTCACTCGCGACCACGCGAGTCGTTGAGGCCCGACCGATGCACGCGGCCATTGTGTCGAAATACCACCGGTACCTTGAGGAAAAGGACCAGGTGCAGGCCGAGCTGGACGAGTGGCTCACCGAGTATGGAGCAGGCGGCCGCAAGCACGGGTACATTCCAGTCACCGAGTCCCGCAGCACGGAAGACGAGCTTGAAGACCAGCGCCAGCGGTTCTACATGTCCAAGCAGCTGGCCAAAGAAGCGCGCGCGGCGAACCCCATGGCTGAATTCGGGACGCAGAACCCATTTACGTTGATGACCATGGACGAGTTCCAGCAGTTCTTGCAAAACTCGCACCTCAATGCCCGTAACAAGACAGAGACTTCGCGCACTGCAAAGCCCAAAGACCCGCGGCGAGCAAAGACCCCCTGGCCAACCCGTTCGTCGTCCGAGCGCGAGGACGACGAGGGAAACGGTCGGGACGAGACGGAGGACGGCACGCGACGACGGGCGTCAAAGCCGGTGACGGAACGTTCGAGAGCAGAGCCTTCGGACGGTCGTCGGCTTCGTGAGGCACAGAGTAGTCAGTTTTCGCTTCAATTAGGAGGCATCAGCATGAACGGCGGGGACTACGGGTTCAGGAGTACGGCTGATGGCAGCACGCAGTCCACCGAGCAGACAGATCTCTCTGGAACGGATTTCAGCGATAGTCCCGGCAGCAGCGGTACGAGCGGCGACAACACGAACGGCGGGTGGAACTTCGGAGCAGTGTCGATTGGGGACGGGGCTCAAGTCGCTCCAGTCTCCGAGAGCAACACTGATAGTAGTAGCCCGAGTTGGTGGGGATCGCATACGTGGGGTGGCACAAGTTGGTGGGGTACGGCGGGAAGCGGCGACTCGAATGCTGGCGCCCATTCTGGCACAAATTCGTGGGGCACGGCAGGAAGTGGCGACTCGAATGCTGGCACCCACTCTATCACGAGCTGGTGGGGCATGGGGGGAGGCGGAGGCTTGAAAGCTGACGCCAATGCCAACACTAACACGAACAATGCTGGCACATGGACCTTCAATTCCGATGGCGGAGACACAAATGCTGGTACGTGGACATTCAAGCCAACGCAACCGTCCGACTCGAGTCCGCAGGAGACCATAGCAATAAACCCGCAGTGGACTATCGATCCGAACTCGCAGATAACTCCAGCACCGGACTCGCAGTGGACGCCAGCACAGGACACACAGTGGACGCCTGCATTGGACTCGCAGGAGTCTTTGGCTTCGAAGTCACAAGAGACTGCAGCATCAGACTCGCAGGAGACTGCAGCGTCAGACTCGCAGGAGACTTCAGCGTCAGAGTCGCAGGAAGCTTCGACCTCGAAGTCAGGAGAGACCCCTGCACCAGAGTCGCAGGAGACTGCAGCGTCAGACTCGCAGGAGACTTCAGCGTCAGAGTCGCAGGAGACCCCAGCACCAGAGCCGCAGGAGACCCCAGCACCAGAGTCGCAGGAAGCTTCGAATCCGGAGCCGCAGGAGATTTCAGCACCAGAGTCACAGGAGACCCCAGCATCAGACTCGCAGGAGACTGCATCTTCGGCTTCATCGAGCTACCAGCGGCGGAAACCTTCGTCTTCCGACAGCGAGCCGGCTGCTGCACAGGAGCCTGCAGATGATGAATCGGCGAGAGCTCCGTCGAGTCCGTCAGCCTCGTCACGTGCTACCGATCGTGCCCCGGCGTCTGATCCTGCGCGTGAATCCACACCGGTGCCACGACGGGAGCCTGCAGTTGCTCCTGTCAGTCAAACCGACGAGTCCACTGTCAGTGCTTCAACGAGTGCGAGTGCAGCGGGCGCGAGTCCAAGTGCTGACGCAGACGCTGTGGACTGGAGCACGTCTCCTTGCGTCCACGCTCCTACGCTGCAAGGCCAGTGTGGCAGTTGCTGGGCGTTCGCCTCCATCAGTGCACTGGAAGCCGCTCAGTGCATTCGCAATGGGGACAAGAACGCGTCCGAGTATTCCAAGCAGCAGCTCGTGAGCTGCGATACCAAGAACTTTGGCTGCAACGGTGGCGCGCCCGTGTACGCGCTCGAGTACCTCCGGGACAATGGCGTCTGTACCGAGAGCAGCTATGCGTACACGTCCATCGAAGGCGGTCAACCAGCTGCGTGTGCCAAGTCGTGCACGCCCGTCAAGTCCGGTATCAAGGAGATCAAGAAGATCGAACAGGGCGACGAGCGCGCGTTGCTCCGAGCCGTGCAGCAGCAGCCCGTGATTGCGTCCGTCGTGTCCAACAACGCCGTCTGGAAGCAGTACATCAGCGGTGTGATCACTTCGTGTCCGCCGGCGCCGAACGTGGACCATGCGACGCTCGTGGTCGGCTACGATGCCACGACGATCAAGATCAAGAACTCGTGGGGTACCGAGTGGGGCGAAGAGGGCTACGTGCGCGTGAGTCGCACTGCAAGCGGCATGGGGACATGCGACGTGCTCAAGGACATGTCGTACCCGGAATTGTAACTCACCTGCCCACTCCTTCACACGGCCGTGTGGCCCACGTCCACTATCGTAACTTTTGTGCAAACACAAAACTATAAACATGCTTTTCTTCGTCGTCGTAAACACGGAGACCCGTTTTGTCCTTCTGTGTGCAGTGTCGTGTTCTCGTTCGCTCGCTTTCGCTTTTTTTGCCTTTTCTGCTTTTTCTTCTTTGTCCAAATTCAGAAAAGCACTTTGTACTCGATGCGGTGCACCACACGAAGTCGCCCGTACCTCAGGACCCGTTAATTGGTATCAGCGCTCGTCGTCGTCCCCCCCGTTCATGCCTGCACTGTTCCGTCTCGTGCGTCGTCGCTGTCGTCCCGTTCCCCGTCTCCACTTGCTCACAATGAGCTCTGCGTCTCGCGCTTCTGCCCGTACAAAAGCGACTGCAATCACGCGCTTCGTCGACGTACACGGTGCAATTCGCTGTGGCCAACGCACGGACGACGGCTCGACCGCGCTCTTGGTCGAAGACGACGACCCCCTGGGCAGTTTGTACTTTACAGGGGCAACTGCGACGATCGAGAAGGTGTTGGCGCCAGTGGTCCCGACTCAGATCTTGGGCATTGGCCTCAACTACCGCCAACACGCGCTCGAGACCAACATGGCGATACCCACGTCCCCTGTGCTCTTTACAAAGGGCGTCAATGCACTGCAGCACCCGCACGATGCTGTCGTGATTCCCCGTGTCGCGTCGTCTCCGCCTGAAGTGGACTACGAGTGCGAACTGGCTGTCGTGCTGAAAGAAAGCTGCTGCAATGTGACGAAAGAAGAAGCACTGACGTTTGTCGGTGGCTACACTTGTGCCAACGACATTTCTGCGCGACGATGGCAGGGCAAGAAAGGAGGCGGGCAGTGGTGCCGTGCCAAGACCTTTGACACGTTCTGTCCATTGGGACCCGTGCTGATAACCCCAGAGCGCATTCGTGACCCCCAGACGCTGGACATTGCGACGTACTTGAATGGCGAGCAGGTGCAAAAGTCCAACACCAGTGACATGATCTTTTCAGTGGCCGAGATCATCAGCCTGCTGTCGCAGGACTGTACGCTGCCAAAAGGCACGCTCATATTGACGGGAACGCCAGAGGTACGAGTGCGAGCTGAAGTGACGCTCGATTCGCGTCTAGGTTGGAAAAGTCAGGTGCTAATTTTGTGTGTGTGTGGGTGTGCAATGTTCAAGGGCGTTGGTTTCGCTCGCGATCCTCCAGTCTATCTGGCACCTGGCGATATGGTCGAGGTCGAGATTGAGCGCATTGGCAAGCTCGTGAACCCCGTTGTTGGCGCCTCGGCGCTGTAGGGATCGAGCGAGCCAAAAGTGGCAGTCGGGATCTCGGAATGGACTGCAAGAGACTGTTTCCAGGACTGTCACACAGCTTTTGTCACACCATTTTTTATCCACGTAACACGTCCTGTTGTAGCAGCAAAAGTTGTAGAAGTTTCGACGTCGAGGCCCTTTGTGTCTGTGCGTTGTAAAGCTGCAAGTCGCTGACGCTATTTGTTTCGAGCTTTCGAGGCGACCAATGCCAGCAGAACAAGACAGCAACAGAGTAAAGACGGCGACAACACTACTGACAGCCAAAGTTTGAGCTGCTTCGTGGCACATTTTGTGAAGTAACATGGGGGAAGCAGAATAGAGTGCATTCAGATAAAGTAGAATCTATGCTCTATCGGTCGAACAGAATGTGGGAATTGCTATTGTCACCACACTTTTTTTGATATTTCCACTAAACTTTTAGCAAGATCCACCCCACCACACTATTAACAAGTGCCGCCACACCACACTACACCACCACAGCATACTTCACTACTACACTACACCTCCACACAACACCACACCACACCACAGCACCACAGCACATTTCACATAGCATCTCTAATGCCTGAACGGAACCTGAATGAAACACAGAATGTAGCGGGGTAGCCCGTTACGTGAAAGTACCATTGCGCGAAATGGTAATAAAGAATGTGATGTTGAATATTCTTTCAGCAATATCACTAATTATTGTGATGTTGTTGAGATGGCCCAAAGGTCTGCTCATTTGTTGATATTATGTTCGTAGCAACCAACTAAACCGCTGCAAGACGCGCGCAATGGGTGGTGATTAGACGTCATCATACATTTAGTTATATCAACATAACTGAAGTCAGCTCAAAACTAGAGAACAAGAGATGGACGACTTGATTGTATTGAATGACAGTTTTACTTGTTCTACAACTAGAGTCTCGCCTTAGTTGTTTAACCTTCGTCTGTATAGTGCATATACCTAGCAGTGAGAGTCAACTCCGTACTTATGTTCCCGTACGGAGTGATCAGTGCCCCGTTACACAGAAAGTGTTGGCGGTTGAATACCGTCAAGTATGAACCTTCTGCCGTAACGCAAGCGCAAAACAATGTCCACACGTATTCGAGCACATGCTCGCACGGCGCTGAGTCATTTACCTGCACACAATCTATCCGAGGCGAACAAGAACCAGCTGCGTCGGTCAGCGATAGTGAGCAAGGACACACTATTGCGTCTACCAATGTGGCGCTGTCTTCCATGTACACCGCCAAGTTGTAGCCAATGGAGAATCGCTCGATCACATCGGCAACATAGTCAAGACCTACAGCACTCCTTTGTCCGTTCAAGGTCGAGTGTCAAAGTACTTGACTGTCCATTCATTCTTGCAGCAGATTTGCATCGGAAAAGAGCCGTTGCTCTTGTGTGCTATGAATTGTGATAATAAAGCTGTCGCAACGTGAGCACGAAAGATGTCAGCAATGATGCTGGCAGGATGTGGAAGCAATCGATCGTACGTGCTAAAGCTTGTCAAGTGATCTTTCTGTTGTTGCGGATGTTTATTTGCTGGAACCCTAAGTTCGGACCGATCAACACTTGTCCAACAACTGTCACGGACTCTGCATGTGTATTGATTGAGACGCTGTCACTCTTGAATGGAACTGAGCACTGCACATGTTCACTGTGGCGTTGGGAGAGATGAGCGCTACGTGAGGTGATCGAAGTGCTTGAAGGAAAGTGCAAAGCAAGCACTACTACGTGATGCCGACACGGAAGCGGAGCGCTTATTATATCCTGGACAAGCTGGACCTGATAGATACGCGTAGAAGGCAGTAGGGCAGTGCAAATGACGCCATTTAAGTCTACCACCATCAGCTGTGCAAAGATTGAGCCGCTAATTTGCCAGTTACCGAGTTTTCATGCGTTAAGACGTCAATTGACCGTCAAGTGACGTCCGTTGGGCCGTTGGACCTAAACGAGTCTTGTGAAGTCGAGCCATTAGGTCACATTTCATTATCCGTACAAAAAGCGTACTGGGCGATTTCCTACAACCGTCCGACAAATTCAGCAGACGTGTGTCGGCAATGTATCTCTCATAACCGACGGATGAGTCCGTGAGACGTACAAAGTATAGTGATGATGTGGTTCGGAGATAATGCGGTAAATACTAAGAAAATTGCGATTTCCGCCACACTTTTTGCTACTTCCACCACGCATCAAGATGCCATCCATCGTTCCGCTGGATTTCAACTGCTTTTCACCTGCAGTCGGTCAAACGCGTCCTACTTTCACGCTGGTTCTTGTCGATCACAAGGGCTGGCTTTCGCTCTCGAAACGAGCCGCCAAGGACACAAGCTAGTTCAACAAGCTGATGGGTGCGCGTGTTGTCCGATCGTTCGATTGTGAATGCGAAACCTGCTTCCAGTTCAAACTTCTTGACATGATCTATAAGCACGTCTCGATAGGATGCCGACTTCTAATCATCCAGAAAACAGGTGGATGAAACGTGATTAATCCTGTCCTTGTACACATACTTCAAGATTTTCTCACTCATTTACAATGCATAGTGAGTTCGTACCTATGGCGAAATTGCCGCTCAACACGTTTGTGCATGCACCAACATCGCAAACAATGTTTTCGCGAATGGGTCACTTCATCCACGCATAATCATCTTCTTAAATTGTAGCTTTAATTTAGGGAGGGAACGCGTCAGCTCAATGCGATCCTGATCCTGCTCATCACGCGCCGACGTCAACGTTGGTGCGACTGATTTACAATGTCGAATATATTGCTATCAAAGAATTCAAAGCCGGTACTTGCGACGGAGCTATTGCTGACGCAGTTGATAAGTTGAGGATGCTGGTATAATCAGCATCTTCACGGGCTATTCCATCGAGTTACATGTCACACTGGATGACGAAATAATAATCCTATTGCCGTATTCATATGGCGCATTGACATAAACAAGTCATCAGTCATCCATTCGTGCAAGAATAGATCGCAAAATCGGTAGAAGGCATAAATGAATCTTTGACGAGACAGAAATGACAGAAAATACGTTCAATCGTACAACATAGGGTATCTACTCTTACTCTCAACGGTGACTTCAACTAGATACGTAGTGACTTATATGGATGGTAGTGAACTACTGCCCAAATAATTTGGCCTATTTCGAGTGTAGCGTCGCCTATCCAACGCATACACGGTGGTAATGCATCGTGGTAGTGATGTATCGTGGTATGCTTACGCGTCCTAAGTTTGTTGGTGGAGCTCCTCCACCCGTATTGTCAGCACGAGACTTCTTCCGATGTCGAAGACACCATCACGCTCATAAGTATCCATCATCACTTTGCGATCACATATAACGAGCCGAACTAGTCGTGTAAAGAAATATCGCTCTACGTGATTAGAAGACATCCTGTTCGGACACCACCGTCTTACCTTGAAAAGAGCCGCCCACTCGACTTTCACTGATAGAAAGCGTATTTGAATCGATTACTTGCGCGATGTATTCGGTAAATCTTCTTAGTATGGATCAGGTTTATACGATTGTCTCGC